GTAAAACATGTTTCTCTGCAGCTCATCTCTCAGCTGTGTCCCGGTGCTCCTGCTGCGTCTCTAAATCTACTGCAGATCAAACACTGACTGTGGATCAGAACCTCACACCACCCCATGTCAGATAACCTGAGCTACCACCTTCAATGAATGACTTCAATAATTTGATCTTACTGCTGATTTAATTAAAATTGTTTCTTACTTTATCAGCATTTCAGTCACTTTCACTCAAACAAAGTAGTTTCTCCATAAACGATGAACTTACTTCAGTGAAGTCTCATCAGTGTTAGTGTGACTGATTTAGATCTCACTGAAGAATTCATTTTGACACAATCAGTGTATGAGCAGTCTGATGTAAGTCTACAGTGTGAGGTTCTGCTGGGACACTGGGATTATGTGTGTTGAGAACAACTGAATTTTGCTCTGGTCACTTCATGGATATGTAAACACGTCTTCGCGTCATGGTCCACACTGTGAGCAGTAGCAGCAGAAACACTGATCGTCATCTTACTGGAGAGTATCTGTGCAGCTGTGCCGGCTCCAGAGTGCAGCCAGCTGAAGATGATCCTCCTGCAGTGAAGAGACAGGACCTGGATCAGTTCACATGGATGGGTTTTCTCACAGATCAAATCCACTTACTGGAGACAGTGATGAGCGAGTCAGGGAGTTATTAAAATCTGGTCTGAGGTCTTACCTGGGGGACTCTGGCACCGGTCTGAGAACCGCCATAATTGGCTGGATGACACACAGAGCCATGACAGCGCAGCCTATGTAAGGGTGAGAGCCGGCACCCTGAGAGAGGAGGAAGCAGAGAGGAAGAGGAGCAGTGAATGATTTCAGTCTTCATCAATCGCCTCTATCAGCTGATCATCAGACAGGTTGTTAACGAGCCGACAGGTGATCAGATCATTTGGTCAAACTGACACTGAACAGCTGATGATGCTGATAATCCCTCATCAGTTACAGTAAATACAGGAGGTCAGTGATCTGAAAACTGATGTTTACACACAACAGACCAACAATAAACTGATTCAGCAGGTTTCAATAGTTTCTGACTGTGTTTAAAGGGACAGACTGTGATTCAAGTCTTTCATTCAATTAAAACAATTCAATGCATCTTCTTACTTATTTATGTTTTCCTGCTGGTTCTCTGTGTTTCAGTGTGTTATTGTTATTATATTACTATATCATTATTACCATCAGCAGCAGCATTGTCATTATAATCATCATTATTTTCATCATTTTATCAGCTGTTCCTCCACTGAGGTAACTAAAGTTCACCAGGTTTAACATCCTCTTTAATAACAAGCAGCAACAGAAAGAAAATATGCAAGTAAAATATAGAGATTTCATAACTGGCATGACATGGAAATACATGGATGTAATAATACCTGTAGTTATTATTTTCATATATATGTATGCAGTTTTCCATTAACCTGCTGAATACGTAACTTGACGTAGTGAACTAAGATGGAAACATGGGAATTAAAATAAATGTCTACACTCTCATGAGGCTGTTTTTCAGAGAGGCAGACAGCTGGAAATCTGTCCTCATGTTTAATTGGAATGAGATCACTTAATGGAAACACACCATTCACTATTGTGTTTTGCATCAGTGAGTGACGTCAGTGAATCTGCCTCAGTAAAAACTCCTGTGGTCACAAACACTTAACTCTGTAGGCAGACAGCGAGCACAGAACATCAGTCTGTGTCTGAAAAATCCTGACGTTTAAAGTTAATGTCTGAGCACCAGAAAACACTATGACGTCATTCTCCCTCACTCTGCCACGCTGACTCTCCTGAGACTGAGGTAGATGGTACAAGTGATGTAAGCAGACACAGTGTCCACACACACATATAAGTCTGTATTAAAGTGAGAGCGAGAAAACAGCTGAGCTACATTCCTCTGCCTCCAGTAACATGTAGTGTTGCTGGAACAGTAATTCATGATTCACAGGTGGCGGACTGAGTCGGTGCGTCCTGATGTTGTCACAGGGAAACACAGACACCTACAGGCCACTTGATATTAAAACTAGATTTAATGTGTTCATTGCTGCTGGGAATTTTTGTTTTTACGGAATAACAGTTATAATAATAATGATGATAATAATAATTAGTGGTGAAATACCAGGACTTGAATGAAGAGTGAGACAGAGTGAAATCATTCAGAAAGTGTCTATCCTGTCTCTGAGCTCTGCAGCAGCGCCTTCCTCCTCATGGTTTCCACCTGATATAGACAGGTGTGGTTCTATATGACCTGATATAGACAGCTGACTTTACCACAGGTGGACTCCAGTCAAGGTATACAGTAGAAACACCTCAGATGGAGGAACCTGAAGTGTCGTAGTAAAGTGTCTGAAAACTTCTGTCAATGTGAGTTTTAAGTTTTTAATAGTATTAAAGTCTTAAATAGTATTTGCTAAATGTCTTCACGTTGTCACTGTGGTCTATTGAGTGCAGACTGAAGAGGGGAAAATATTATCTCTTATGTTAACAGGCTGCAACACACCAACATGTAAAATCATCAGGGGTCTGAAGACTTTCTGAATGCTCTGTACATGAACTGTACATGTGGCAGTCATGTGATCATCTGAGCTCTTCTCTATAATCACAAATTAAGACTCTTGATCTTTTTCTTCACTTTCAGTGATGAGGTCTTTTACTCCTGAAGCTGAGCTCAGACTGGGGGAGGTTTGGTCTGATTTAATCCTGTCTCAGCCCCCCCCCCCCGAGAAATCTGGTCCTGGACCTGGTTCAGTTCTGATGTTCAGCCCAGATTATCTGGTGATGTGATAATCTGCTCACAGACTCATGGAGGCCGTCCTGATTAATATCAAACATGTGATATTTAGGAGTTCAAACCAGGACTCGACTCCGACTTGACTCTTAGTATCATTCTTAACTCTAATTCTTACAAGTTTATTAAATGCAGGCTCATATTTATCATCATTTAAATCTAAATTTCTTCCACTGATACCAAATGTAAAAGGCTGAACGTCTGGAATATTTCCATTTGATGATTGAAGCCATAAAAAAAAAAAAAAAAAAAAAACATGTTTTGAATTTAAACTTCTTATAAAATGGAAAAACATTCTTTTATAAATGTCAAGAACCACCTTCTCTCTCTGAGGAAAACTGAATTTAATAAACTGGACGAAGAGGAAAGTAAGGTGAAGTATTAAATGATTGTCCCTGTAATGTTATTTTAATCTGACCTAATGATTTATTTTATTTATTTATTGCACCAAACTGTTCAAAGCTCTTAAAGTATGAAAAACTGTGGACGGCCTTTTCCTGATGTACGTTGTGTAAATATAAACTGCTGCCCTACAATAAAGAATTTAAACATGTGAAGAACCTTAATTGAAATCTTAAGTGGATATTTAAGAGTTTAGCGGGTGAATCTTTGCCTTGGTGTCCGTATTGACACGTAGCAGTCAGACGTGTTGGACTTCATATCTGAACACTTCTTCTTTAAAGCTCAAACTTGATTTGAACTCTTTGAGCCTGACTCAGATTCTCCAGCCTGTGCTGCTGTTCCTCCCTCTACCTGCTGCAGCTCCACGTCCAACAGACTCATTATGTCTGAGCAGGTGGAGGAAGCTGCAGGTAGAGTGTTCAGAGGTACAGTCCTGACATCTAAAGCTTCTGTGGTGAGTCAGGATTCAACAGTGGTGAGTCACACACACACACACACACACACACACACACACACACACACACACCCACACACTCACACACCCACACACACACACACACACACACACACACACACACACACACACACACACACACACACACACACACACACACACACACACACACACACACACACACACACACAGACCCGTCTGCTAGTCTCTGGTTCTGGTCTCAGACTCCTCCTCTGAGTCTGGGTCTGACTGAGGCTCAAACATGTGGCTGAGTCTCTCTGATGTTTCCTCCTCTCACCATCTTGATGCTCTCTGCTCTTTCACCTGTCCACCTGGAGCCAGCAGGTGGTGGGCGGGGCTACAGGCCTGATCCAGGTTTATCAACCAGGAAGTGAGAGGAGACGAGCTTCAGACCCAGTTTAATGTGTGAAACATGTTGAACTAAATATGAATCAGAGGATTTCACAGAGTTAAAACACGTCTGGAGGAACATGCTGTGATACTGAACTAAGATGACTCATGTTTAACGCGTGTTAACCACAACATGTCAGCATTGTCAATGTGAGCATGTAGCATTTAGCTCAAAGCACAAGCTCACAGAGAAGTGCATCATTTGGAAATAAACATGTAAAGCAGAAACTAAACAGGGTCAAATCAGCCACTGTGCTGCCCCCTGCTGGAAGCAGTTCGCAATGGATCTAATCATCTCTGCCCAACCGAAGATAAAAACTGCCTTCATTTAATCTTTTAATCCGGCACTTCAATTAGATATAATCTGCTTTACACTGTGTTTTATACTGTTTCCTCATTATGCTCCTCACTTCTATGTTATGCTTCTTTTGTTTCTGTTAAGCACATTCAGTGACCTCTGAGTTTGAGGCTATACAGATGAATCTGCCTCGTCCTGCTGTGTCTCTAAAAGAACAAATAAGGTGTTTATCTAATGTCACACACACAGACTCAAACAGTGGAGACCGTCAGCATGTCGTTCACTGGCTGGAAAATCATGTGTGAATGCACCATTACAGGCGTACCAATGTACAGCCTGTAAAGCCTGTCCTGGGGGGGGGTCTTTAAAATGAAAAGGGCTCAGCCTCTTTCAAAGATAAACATACAGAGAAATATGAGGAGCTGCTGGATAACCACATTTTAGAGAGCAAAGCCGACATGTTGCTCTGAGAGACGCTCCACAGGAAACACAGAAGAGTCTCTTTATCCCAGCAGGAGAATCTGCTGCTGCAAAGTTTCTACAAGTACAAACACACACACACACACACACACACACACACACACACACACACAGTCTGATCCATCAACACAAGAACAGGCCGTGACAACACAATGAGTTGTTGTTGTTGTGGGACTGACTCAAACACACAGCACCAGCTTCAGAGCCGGTGAGACAGATGGAGGGACAGGTGGACGAGCATGGAGGGGGTACACACACACACACGCACACACACGCACACACACGCACACACACGCACACACACGCACACACACGCACACACACGCACACACACGCACACACACGCACACACACGCACACACACGCACACACACGCACACACACACACACGGACACACACACACACATACACTTACCTCGCTCCATCCCCTCCTGTATATGAAAGGCAGCGTGAAGGCCACACTAGTTAGGACCACAGCCAAGAGCATCATGGTCCGATGGAGCTGCAGAGAGGAGGAGAGGGGGAGGGGCCTGATGAAGACTGGATCACTGGTATTGTACTTCCAGGCCCGGGATTCAAACCCAGACCCATGTGACACTACTCTACAGAGCCTGCTTCACTACATGCATTATAATAGCTCAGCTAATAGTTCTTCTTCTAGTGTATTACCAATATTATTATGATTATTGCCATTTTTATTTATAACAACAACAATTATAATACTTATTGTTGTTGTTTAGGTGTGATATTACAAAGCTGTGACAGGCCGGACACATCTACAAACACTGTGGTTCGAACCAACGTTGGTCACCATGGAAACGGACCCCAGAGCAGCGAACTCAGAACCTGATTATTAAACTGATGGATTATTCAGTCAGTGAAATGTCTCAGAGGACGGAGACGTGTCGGTGTTCTCACCTGAAACCAGAGTCTTTGTCCCAGCACGGTGGTGTCAGGCCAGCAGTGTTTGTAGTGGCGAGCGACGAAGACGGCCGTGTTCACCGTCCACATCCAGACAGTCAGCATCAGCACACCTGCACACACAGCACAGGTGCTGGAGGAGTCTGTATCCATCCCTGGTCAGAACTGACGGGTTCAGATTTACTCTTACAGACACAAATGTAGATACGTAATGAGACGTGTTAGCGACCTCAGTGTGAGTCAGTCTCATGACGCTCTGTGTGCAAACATAGAGTAATATATTACACCCGCTTGTTCTCACAGATGTTCACTTCCTGCCTGGAGGGATCATGTGTTTGTCCAGAGTGAAACCCAAACTCAACTCACCTGTTTCAACAACATCAGGTGGGTCACAGCTGAGACCGGGGTCCAACAAACACTGTGGCCTGATACTTAAAACTAAAAACATGTGACCCTGAAACAGTCATTAAATATAAAATAAAATCTTATGAACGAAGCCTCTGAATGAGGAGTGCTTGTTACTTCATTTACCTGATACTGCAATTAAATTAATTAAATTACGTTTATTAAGCTTGAAAGTTCATCCTTGATCTGAGAAACAGCAGCATGACCGATGAGTAAATGGATGAATGGATGAATAAGCATTTCATCCCTGCTACAGTTTAAGCTCTGCAGTATGTGTTGCTGTTCGTTGTGTGGTTTGTCAGCGTGGCAGCGCAGCCTTCATCTTTACATCTATAGAGTTTCAGTCCAACACATGATGTATATATATATATGATATAATGTCCACAGACTACACAGGAACCATATGTAAGAAGGAGTTTGTAAACCCACCATGGACCTTGATGAGCAGCGGGGAGCGGGAGCCAATCAGATCCTCGGGACGTCCAGTGATCACCTTCTGATTGGTGGAGATGAGCGGCTGATGGTGGTGTCTGTGGATCAGACCTGAGGAGGACAGAGTTTACAGCAGATTACACCTCTGTTCCAGCTGAAGAGGAAGTAACGTGAGCTATTCTCAGTGATGTGACTCAGTGGAAACACTCACCACCTGAGCAGTGAACCTCACACTTCAAAGTGTTTCCATGACAACAACAGAACACAGCAGAACACAAGGAGTCACACTATGTGTGTGTGTGTGTATATATATACACATACACACACACACACACACACACACACACAAACACGTGTGACGTGACATTATAAAATGAAACTTGACATGAAATAAAAGTGTTATTGGGGAAAAATAAACTTTGAAAAAGTAAGTTTGAAATAAAAATGTCAGGATCAGTTTGTTTTGTTTCATCTGTAAAAACATTTAACGTGTGTTGGCAAGTTATAAAACCTTCCTGTTCTGTTCCTTAAACTCCAGCCTGAGTTTTAATCATTTCTTAAATTATTTCACAAATTATTGTTTGATTTATATTTTCATGTAATTATTTAATTATTAATTTAATATTGACCACTTCCTGCTGTCTTACCTCGGTGAGATCGACCATGAGCCAGAAACAGGAAGTAGCTCTGGTTTAAGTCGAACCTATTCTGTAGGAGGATGTTTCTATGGAAACGACACTGGATGACCCCGTCTGCCAGTCTCCAGGCCCGACCCCACACAGCATCCTGGAGACAGAGAGGACAAGACTCACAGCCACTGAAATGCATGATGAAGATGGTGAAGATGAAGAGTGTGAGAGTGTACCTCTGTTTCCAGCTCAGGGGGTGTTCGTCCAGAGACGTGAGCAGCGCTGATGGAAACTCCGCCTCCATCACTGACACACAGATAAACGTCATCATCGCCCTGAAGGACAGAAACATTTATTTACATCTGCAGCTCGTTAACTTGTTTATCACTGTAACCGTCTCATATGTCACATGTTCATTACTCTCTTACTCTCTTATGTTCAGTCACAGCGAGACAGTCCAGGTGAGTCTCATCTGAAGTCACTGAATGTTTCAGTATGAAACCAGGATCTTTCTCTAACCCAGTCACCACTAAAATAAAACTCACAGACCAACCGGCCTACCACTGCAGTGGTACTGAGGCAGAACAAAGAGGTCACCTGGGACAGGTGTTTTTGAACGAGATGCTGTAAAGTGTCCAGGTGACCAGGTGACCAGGAGTCAGATCGGCACCCTAACCACTCACTTCTCAGGCCGCCTCGACTTAGAGCAGAACCTCTGCGCTTCACCCACTGCGCAGCGACAGGTGGTGCTAGCATTAAAATGATCACACACATTTGAACACTGCTGGATGTCATCAAACGCACCACGAGTCTCGGTCTGGTGACGACATTACTAGTAAAACACTATATCACATGTGAGAACAGTTCACACTCGCCTGTCGTGTTCTGGTCATTTGATTTTCTCTGACTGACCCGGTCTGAATCCCCCGCTCCATCCCCTGCTCTGTGGTCAGTGGTAATTAACAGGCTGATGACTGCTGACATCCAGCTCAGCTAACTGTTAGCTTCATCACATTTCCTTTCAAACACTCACCAGACGGAAGTCTTAAAACATAAACTGTGAAACTGCATCCGTTCACAGTGTCACTGTACAGTTGGTTTAATACAGAAAACAACACATATACACTTCTCACAGAGGGCTTTACGCTCACTCAGACAGTTTGACAAACACTGAGCACGACATTTAAATCCTGATGTTTGATTTGCTGCACTCTTTGAGAAAGGCTCTGAACAGAACCAGGGAACAGCTGCATGAGGTGGAGCCACTGCAGGTGGAGATTTATAACAAACACCTTCAACAGATATGTAAATGAACAACATGTTCTCAGTCTGTTAATACAAAGTGTTACTCAGTCACAATTGTGTTTCCTTCAGAGTTAATTAGCAGTTACAAATCAGTGGTATAATTGATCATTTTCCATTTCTAAGATATTAACACACTGAAGAATCTCTGTTTACATCACAAGAATAAACAGCAAGAGAAGATGTGTGGGTCTGTGGTCTGAAGTCACCTGATGACAGGTGATTATATAAATAAGATGCTCTCTGACTGTCCACTGACTCCTGGAGGATGACCTTTGACCTCTTCCCTGTGGGTGATGTGAGCGGTTTCACAGACAGGTGTGAAGACATGGTTAGAGTGGCTCTGAGATATGAAGCTAACAAACAGGAGCCGCCACTTCTTGGTGTTAACTTCAAGAAATAAACTCACCATCCATTTATCCAGAGACAGAGCGAAGGACACGTAACCCTCCGCTGGACCACTGACTTCAAACATCACGCTCCGTCCTGCTCCATCCGCGGTGAAGGACAGGAAGAAACAGCCGGGGTCTGACTCTGGGTGACAGCCCACTGGGTCTCTGAGGCAGGACTTACTGAGGCCACACCCCCCCGAGCTAAACTGAGGAGGAGCAAGAGAAAAGGTGAGATTCTGGATAATGTGTGAGGTCAGAGGTCAGCTGCACTGAACACCTTAAGGTAAGATTTTCCTTCTGAGTTAAAGTTTCCTTAAAATAAAACCTGTTGCACAAAACACCCTTAAGTCTTCTCCCTAAGGATTCCTTAATATATTCACTTAAGTATTTAAGGTTTCTCCTGATCTCAGTCTGATACTTAAGGAAACACTTAAAGTCATTAAACTGTAAAAGACCTTAGAGACCGAACTAAAGAGAAACCTTCAGGTTCCTCTGATCGTCTCTGAACTCAACATGTCTGAGTTCATGGTGAGAGATGAAGAGGAGGAACGTCCCAACAAGAGTTTGAACCTGATGGAGCCTCAACCAGAGGAATGGATTTCTGTGAGACGATACAGGTGAGACGTTAATGCCAGAAAACAAACAGTCTCCATGGAAACTGTAGAATTCTACTGCTGTAAAACCTCTTTCACTGCTGTGAATGCCTTAATATTCTTCCTTATCAAAGGAAACCTTTTAGGAGATTCTGTGCAACACCCTTAAGTACCTCCCTCAGCTGAGGAGAAATTACACCTTAAGTGTCAGGCTTAAGTAGAAAACCTAAGGTGTTTTGTGCAACTGGCCCCTGGGTTTTATCTAGAGTGACAGGGACGTAGTTTCTGCAAAGATGTGATGGATGATTTAAAAGCTGTGTGCACCATAAACTGAACTCCATCCACCTGGGTCCAGGTAGACACCTCGGAGACAGAGGTCTCTGAACCCGGACAGGTAAAACCCTGATGATGTGCAGGAGCAGATGGACAGAGGGAAGCTTACGTCCATTTTGAGGCTGTATTTTGGATTATTTCGTCTTGTATTTGATCATATCTATAACAGTTTCAGTAGGTGAGCTCTCCAATCATGATGTGATGACGTCAGACACTGACCGGTGAGGACAGAGCAGCAGGGCTGGTGGTTTCAGCGGGAACAGGGGTGTGTGGAGCAGTGGTGGGCGGAGCAGCGGTGGGCGGAGCTGCGGTGGGCGGAGCTGCGGTGGCTCCTCTCAGAGACACCACAGGACCTGCAATCCTCACCCAGTACACCTTATAGTCATGCACCACCGTCACACTGCAACAACAAATCAAACACACCTTCAGATACGCAGCTGTTCTGCTGTGTGTAGGACAACCCTGTGTGTGTGTGTGTATTTCAGTGACATCATCAGTGACATCATACACAGTGTGATGCGTACTCACAGGAACTGGACTTTCTGTGGGGGGGTGTCTGGAGGCTCCCACACAGCCTGGACCTGAGTCTTCTTTGTGCCTCCATTGTGGCTCAGTCCAGATCCCTACACACACACACACACACACACACACACACACACACACAAAGAGATTATTATGAACATGTCAATCAGAGAGTGGTGAGACTGTGGCATTGTACTGAACCTCCTGTTCACCTCATAATTATTATTTACTGTGTTCAGGTATGAGGAGCTGCATCATGTGTTTAATGAGTGTGTGTGTGTGTGTGTGTGTGTGTGTGTGTGGCTGCAGCCCAACATTATTTTTTTCGGTTCATTTTGCCTTGACAAGCGTGGCGTGTGTAAATAAAATGATTGTTTGTAATTCATCACGAGTTCATATCACCATGACGATGAAGATAAGATTGATCATAAGTTTGAGGTTTACCTGAGTGTGGCCACACTGCAGCAGCTGGGACTGACGAGGGTCAGTCAGGATGAAGAATCCCACTGCAGGCAGGTCCAGTTTCCCAGCATCCCGAGCTTCTATCAGGAAGCCCCTGAAGAATGTGTGGTCAGCGGAGGACGGGGAGGAGGAGGAGGAGGAGGGGGCCACTCTCAAAGTCACTGTGGATGAAGAACAGGGAGGTGAGGAGATGTGTGTCACCACACCTGTAAGTGAGGTTTAACAGCTCACCTGTGATGTTGTCCCCAGGCCTGAAGGTGGGTTTGTCCACAGTGATGCTGTAGGGAGGCGGGTCTGGACTGGGCTCGTACCCATGCTGAGGCGCCATGTCTCCACAGGCTACACCCACCTTCCCATTACTGAACCCTGCGACTGGCTCCACAGTCCCAGTGAGCACCGTGAGCACAGGCAGCAGGAGGAAGCAGCAGCACATGATGCTGCAGTGGAAACACAGGAAGAGACTGGATCAGATACTTGACCCTTGACCCTGACATGTCCTCTCCTCTGAGACCGTGTCTGTCCTCACCAGGACACAACACACTGGCTGTTGAACTGACTGTTTTATTTTGGTGTTGCAGTCTTCCTACAGTACTTCATCTCTACACATTAACTGGGTCATTTGGACCCCAACACAGAGGACACTACATACCACTGTATGAGCTGAGGTGTGACTCCTTACCTCTGCTTTTATTAAAAATATATCATGTCAACTTTCTTGTGCAGTTTAATTAAAACAATGTTTTACATGTCACGTTTTTGTCTGGTCATGTTCCTGAAGCAGCTGACGTGAGTCAACATTTTCACTTCAACACTGACTTCAGCTTTTCCAACTCTGCCACTGTCACACTTTGACCTGCAAGATTTTTATTTGCTTCTGCATTTCAGCAGTTTTTGCTTTTACATATCAGCTGTTTTTTAGTCATTTTCAGAATAACTTCTGCAGTTTCCTTCCTGTGTTCAGTGTTCAGTTTCTTCCTTTCCAGTCATTTAAGATGAGATTAGTTCAGTCTGCTTCGCTGCCTGGGATATGTAGAGCTCTCTCTTCTTCTCTATTCTGTCAGAAAGTCTCTGAGTTTTGCATCTTTGCTCTTAATATTAAAAGTCTAGCACAGTATTGGAAGAACAGTGTTTAAAGTGTTATTAATGCTGCACTTGTTCAATATTCCCCTGTGGAACAGACTTCTGTCTTTCAGTTTAAGGACCTGTCGACTCCTCAGGTGTGAAGTTTCATTAATTAATTAGAAAGATTGTGGGACTGTTGGTTCTATAAAGAGTTGCTGACAGAATTACAGCTGACAAACACAAAAATCTTCTTTACATATAACTCATGGTGTGTGCTACACACACACAGATGAGTTACAGATTATATAACACGACCAAGAAAAGACAGGAACAATATCATCACATTAACACATGTAGGAAAGGAGAAGAACAGCTGATTCACTGTCTGACTGTATCTGTGGACAGAGGCCGACACTCACCCAGTGTAATCAGTCTCCTGCAGATCAACAGACTCACTCAGATAGTGAACCTCCAGACCAGAGGGGCGTCACTGAAACAAGAACAAACACATGATCAATAGTTTTTATTAAGACAGAAAATCAAAGAGAATTGAACAGTAAAAAGTCTGGTTATATCTGTTGTTATTGAACTGTACTACACTTCTATTCCAGAGTCTCAGTCTGACCCTTCACTCTGTGACGACCCTCTGTGCTCAGACACAAAGAAGCAAGTGGAACAAGACTCATCTTCATCTGGCATATGAAACGTAATGTGACCGTCCGTCTCACAGCTCAGACACTTGTTGAACAAGTTGAGCTCATCCAAACAAAGTGTGTGGTCTTACCTCCACCCTGTGCTGCTGCTGTCTGTGTCTCCACCCTCAGTGCAGACTGTGTCCTCCTCACAGGGCAGGGCTTCTGCTGCCTTCACTTCCTGTGGAAGAAAATCAGACATGTGAGTTCTTTACTGTGAAACACACTTTACCTTACATTAGGATTCTTCTTCTCTTCCAAACATGATCATCGTTTCACTAGAAATAGTGTCTGTCATTTTTCACTTTATTCAGCCAGTTTATCCCCAGTGAGACTATAAATGACCTTTAGTTTAATTTTATTTCTGTAGCTCAGACTGAACCAGTCAATATGTTTCATCATAAATGTTTCTGTCAGCGACCCAGAGACTCGGTTTACAAGTTTACAAGTTTATTCTTCATCTGTTAGAGAATTATTCAGTTGTTCCCAGAGCACACCGTCTCAGCTGATAGCAGACACACACATATATAGACTATATACACTATAAATATTACACAATGAATGTATGTATGAAGCAGTGAGTCATTCATCCTGATCACTGTTACATCTATTCTAGTTTGTAGTACCAGAGAACCGCCAGCAGGGGGAGGTATTGCCGTGTGGATGACAACACTGATGCACTGAGGGAAGAAGAATACTCACCGAGCACTTTATTAGGAACACCTGAGCCCCTGCTTATTCGTGCAGTTATCGGCCAATCGTGTGTCAGCGGCAGGTCCAGGTGAGGAGCTCCAGTTCATGAGGACAACATGTGACCTCAGTGACTCTGAGCTTCATGACTTTCACTCACAACAGTCTCTAGAGTTTTTACTCCAACAACAAAAGCATCCAGTGAGCAACAGCTGTGTTGGTCAGAGGTCAGAGGTCAGGGGAGAATGGACACACATGTATTTAGATTCATTTAACTCTGGGTTTGATCAACAAATACAATAAAAACTTTGGCAACATTAGAAGTTGTGTTTTCTCTGTTAAAGTAAATGAATTATGCACATTGTCAGTTATCATTTAAAATGCATCTTTCTACGAGCAGCAGATCATCAGAACCAGATTCACCGGACTGAGGTCTGATCTGGTTCAGACTCACAGTCAAACACTTTCAGCTTCAATCATCAAACAACAAAAAAGGCAGGCAGGGGTTGAAACTGGGGGAGGCAGGTCAGGGGTCAGGTGGGTGGTCAGGTGACTACAGAGACAGGAACCGGTGAACAGGTGGGGACAGAAGTGACAGAACATGTTAGTGATGCTCAAGATTAAATAAATGATAGAATCACTAGGACTTAAATTGAACGTAATGCAAACACACATTTAAAATATTTGTTTTTAAAGCACGTTGAAGGAACCAGCCTCAAGCTGCTTCATCTATAACTTTAAGACATTTTGTGCAGAGCTGTTGTTCTTACATTTTATCAATCTGCATTTACTTTGTCCTTGAGTTCCATGAGTTCATGTTTCTAAATGAGAGATGAAGTTAAACTGTGTTAAAGAAGGTGAATCAGAGAGGGAGGTGTGTGTTGATGGCCCAGTGGTGTCTGTGTAAAAAGACACTTACAGACTAATAAAGACGAACCCCGAGCGTGTTGTCACCTGTGAACATGCGTCTCCTCGGTGGTCAGCCATAACAATACTCTGCTGCCCTCTTGTGGCACAGGGCGTCACCTACACCTCCACCGCAGCTATTAGACTCCATCTGTTGTTGGTGTTTCCCTGGCAACTATCTTGTGTTACCTGGTGCAGGTGAGAAGGAGCCGAAGCAAACAACAGAGCAGAGGAGCAGCAGAGAGGACGAACATGAACAGCCTCTTCTCCAGGTAAGTCGTTATCCAGAGACAAGACAACATGGAGGCTGTTTCACCTGGAGGACACTCACACCTGGCTAATGCTAACGCTAACCCACCAACACAACACGTCCCACTGCCATTGTTCTCTGTTGACTTGCTGTGGCAGGGATGTGCAGGTGAAGAGCATGGAGCAGACAGTCAAACATGCTGAGAAGTACCTGGGCGAGGTCTGCCACCTGCTGGGCTCCTACACCAGGAAGACGGCCAAGCTGAGAGACAAGGCCGACCTGCTGGTGGCTCAGCTCTTTGACCTGTCCGGCACAGAGGACCGAGAGGTCCAGCTCGGCCTCAAAAACCTGGCAGAGGATCTTGCCATGGTTCAGGACTACAGGCAGGCTCAGGTCAGGGACTGTGGTGCTGTGGTTCATCAGACTCTTCATCAGGTGGTTTCTGTCATGACGAACTCTTGGTTGTTGCAGGTAGAGAGACTGGAGACGAGGGTGGTGGCTCCTCTGAAGGCCTACGGTGACATCATCAAGAACAAAAGGGTGAGTTTGATGAGGATGTGTGACAGTGATACCGATGTCAGCTGATCACCACACTGGTCTAAATATAACAAAGAGAAGACGACCTTCATCCACCAAGCTTCTTTTTCTCATAAAATTCAAACAATTGTATTAATGTGAAGTTTTACCTTATTTGAGGTTTTGTTCAGCTACATACAAGAAACATGTCCGTCACAGACCTGCAGTATGACTGATTTTAACCTCTGAGGTTTCAACACAAAAACATTTTATTTCAGGTTTTAGTCTTTGGGCTTGATTAAAGAAAAGTTCTCAATCTTGGACAAAACATCTCATTTCAAACTTTAGACTTGAGCCCAGTGTTTCAGATGGTTCATGTCCCATTCAGTACAGTACAAACCTAAAGAGCCAACGTCCGTCTCCAAAGAAACCAAAAGATCACTCATGTACAGCAGGTGTTACAGACACTACGATGCTGACACTCTGAGGTCAGCCCACTCGTCAAATCACCCGCTGTTTTTGGTCTTTTTAGTGCTGCTGTAGTCCCCTGAGGACAGTGACCTCTGACCTCTGACCGGCTGCTGTTCTGTTCTGTTGTTCTTGTTCCTGTTTTGTTTGTTTTTGTTCTGTTGTTCTGTTTGTTGTTGTTGTTCTTCTGTTGTTGTTGTTTTGTTTGTTGTATTGTTGTTGTTCTGTACTGTCTAAGCTGACAGCGTGTCCCCTCTCAGGCCGACGTGAAGAAGTTCAGCAGTGATCTGAGCAGAGAGCTGAAGGAGCTGCAGACGCTGGAGAAGATCAGACTGAGGAACCCAGCGGATCGACAGAGCATCGTATCCTTCACTCACTCAGCTGACTCCTGACTGTGACTGATCAGAGCTCAGTGAACCAATCAGAGCTCAGTCAGGACAAACACGACCTTTCAAAGACACAGAGTCTGACAGAAATGATGAACTAAAGTTCGTTCCACTGTCCTGACACTGTTTCTGGTGTTTGATTATTTCCCTGCAGACTGAGCTTTCCCCTCTGATTTTGAAAACGTTAATATTAGTATCTACATATTCATGTGGACTTATCGGTATAATGGCGCCATAAGAAGGAAGATCAGGTGGCGTTCACCTCCTGAAGGTGAGAACAGTGAGATAGATATTTGTACTACATTTTATATAAGTGTACATGTGTTTTTAATATACGTATTTGGTTTAAATACTTATATACTCTATTACCTGATTAATGTTAATATTCATAAAGTGACTAATTTACCATTTATGCAGAATGACATTTTCCTGACAAGAACTTTCAGTCTCAGGTAACGTAAATGATTCTCTGATTATCTCATGAACATCATCATCATGTGATCAACCCTTCACACACACACACAGTGAGCTGGAGCTTCGTTACTGAGTCTGTTAATTGACAGGCGGAGGTCAACGCTCAGAAGGCTTCAAACAACGCCCAGCGCTGCGTCAGACAGCTGGAGGAGACCATCACTGACTTCCAGAGACAGAAACTGGAGGATATCAAAGTCAGACACACACACACACACTGTACACACTGTACACACACACCCCCTCCAGCAGGTAAAGCATCATGTTTCTCTGTGTTTCTGTCAGAGGATTTTCACAGACTTCGTCACAGTGGAGATGCTCTTCCATGCTAAAGCTCTGGAGGTCTACACACACACACACCACAACCTGGAGGCCATGAACATCGAAAAGGATCTGGAGGTATTTCATGCTAATGATACGACGTGTGTTTACTGATGTAACTGTGGAGATAAACCCACTGCAGCACACTGTGGCTGTGGGACAGCTGCCAGCTGTGTCAGACAGACAGAGGTCTGCATCTCACCTGTAGAAGAGCTCGCAGCAGAGAGACAGCAGAAGAAGAAGCCACAGCACCTGGACAGAGAGGGAGGGAGGAAAGGAGCATTAGATTTATGGGCTCGATGGTCACACAGCCAACACTTTTCTCTACTGTGCCTTTATTTTCCACGTCAGTCTCTGCCCAAAATGTGGAGACTGATCAGAAGAAATGTTTCCATGCCTCATGAAACAGTAATCAGCCTCCGATACTGAAACAGCTTAAATCAAACAGTTACATAGAAAACAGATTTACTGTCTTATTCTTATTATTATAACCATCTGATGAAAATCCAGAGTTTCAGCTCGTTAACGTCCACATGATGTTTTTATACAACACAGACCCATGATGATGAAATAACCATCATCTCCATGACTGAGTGTTTCCACCTTGACCTGCAGTGAAACAATCACAGTCTCATAAACACAGATTCAGGGTTTCATACGTCACACACCTGAGGAACCAATCATGTCAACCTGTGGGGACGGGGGGCGGGGCTAAATACACCTGAAACCTTGTCAGTACAGAGAGAGAGAGTTAGCATTAGCACAACCGCTAACACTGCCAGTTACAAGCTAACAAACAACAGAAACAAATAAAAGATGCTAACTGTGCTAACGGTTCTGACCCGTCTGCTAGTCTCTGGTTCTGGTCTCAGACTCCTCCTCTGAGTCTGGGTCTGACTGAGGCTCAAACATGTGGCTGAGTCTCTCTGATGTTTCCTCCTCTCACCATCTTGATGCTCTCTGCTCTTTCACCTGTCCACCTGGAGCCAGCAGGTGGTGGGCGGGGCTCAAGGCCGGATCCAGGTTTATCAACCAGGAAGTGAGAGGAGACGAGCTTCAGACCCAGTTTAATGTGTGAAACATGTTGAATCAGAGCAGAGGATTTTTAAAACACGTCTGGAGGAACTTTGACACAGAATTATTTCTTTAACTTAAACAGCAGAAATCATAGAAAACCACACTGTCAACTCAACCATCAGCCAGTCACTCCTGAATCAACAACTCTCACTAACTGGGATGTTTACACTGTCAATAAACTGTTTATAATAAATATAATGAAATGTAAAAACAGTCATCAGCTGATAATGATCCTTTCAAAGGATTTAAAATCTTGACAGTGTCTCCATCTCCCTGTGTCCAGCTGTTCAGTGGACGGTTCAGGATGTCTGATCACCTGGCCAGGCGTCCGGATTCCTCTCTGACCAGCCCCCCCTCTCCCCTCATGAGCCACTACCTGAGCCTCCCTGTGGCCTCCCCCAAAGGCCAAAGCCTCAGGTCAACGCTGACTCCTACCAACAGACAGCCACACAGCCAGCTCCCAGACAAGGCCAGGAGGGTGAGCCCTCACCTGTGTTACCATAGCAACTGTGCAAAAATGTTTGTTAAAGCCGTCATTCATGAACCTGACAGTTCTCACCTTACTCCATTTACAGTCTCGCAGCACCTTACAACGGCAGAGAGGCATGGAGGAGGAGGAGGAGGAAGAGGATGAAGAGGAGGAGGAAGAGGAAGAGGAAGAGGAGGAGATGTATGAGTCAGAGACAGAGGAGGGTCAGAACATCAGCAGACAGTCTTATGCTGCTCAATACACCCAGATGCACAGATGGCAGAAGTAACAGGCTGTGCATAGAAACACACACACACACACACACACACGCTCCTGTGTTGTAGAATAGATACACTGGTGACAGCTTCATGTGTTTCTATCAGCACGTTTTCATTATAGTTGTGAAGCTTTTATAATATTAATGATGTGACACTGAACATATTAATCAGCTTTTCTCTGCTGCAGAGTCACTTAGCAGAACAACGTTCAGACACCAGAAGGAAAATGTTCCATTCAAAAAGTGTCAAAAAATGTTTTTTTTTAATTTATCTTTATTTAAATGTTGATGCTCCATTTCCTTTTACTTCATGAACTTAAAAATTTGAAAGAAATTAAACAGTAATTGTGGCATGCACATAAGTGTGGGAACCCTTCTACTTTTGTTTTTAACTCATTAGTAAATCTCAGTTGACTTATTAGATCTTGTAATGTCCAAGGAAGCTGCAGGAAGGTACAGCTGACCAGGAGCGGTGGGGCATCGCTCCACATGAAGTATTGATGCACAAACAGTGATCTACATGACAGAGTCATTAGAAGGAAACGTTTCCTGCGACTTCATCTCAAGTCTGAAAAACAACATCTGGATAAGACAGAGTCATTTTAAAAACAAGTACATGAGGTTAAAATAAGAAAATATTCCACTAAATAAACTAAATAAACTCTGGATGTAAATGTGAGTCTAGAAATGTCTGAAGGTGAAGAGATCCATGAGAAAATTAAATCAGAACAGAACGACTCTGAGCTGAAGGGTTTATAACCTGTGATAAACTGGAGTTCATAGAGTCATAGGAGAGATATAAATAGTGGTATTGTATTATATATAGTGGTAATAGTGGTAGTGGATATAAATAATAGTCAACTGGCTTTGGTCGGGCCTTAGAGTAGTTTCTGCACATGAATCCAGCTCTGGCAGGAAACAGGCGTGGACTGAACATTCACAATAGGGGAAAAACAAAAGTAAAGGGCAAAGGTATTATTTTAGCATTTCATTAATTTCTCTTTATATTTCCACATTTTTTATTTTCCTATTTATTCTTTTATTTATATTTCCACATTTATTTTCTAATTCTTTTACATTTTTCACAACACTCCTATGACTCTATTAAGTACTTACAGTTTTGTAGTTTGTACATTGAATGATCATTGATAAATTTTTTTTAAGTTTTTATGTTCATGAAATAAAAAGAAACTTTGCATTAACATTAAAAGAAAAGTTCATTTTTATGCCTATTTTCTGCTGGAGTTTTACTCACTTTTCAAAAACCAACAAAATACGTAATTTATGAACTTGTATATTTACCTGTATCTTAGTGACTGACAGGTTTCAGTGTCCACAGCTCGGACATGACACCCGGGTGAACTCCCTGTAAATCTCTACTCCTGTTGTGACGTCTTATAAAGAACACACACGTGTCACCTTTTACCTGTCACTGTCCAGCGCGGTGCTGTTACACCAAAAACCCCGCGGCAACACCTCCGTCTGAGACTGCGCATATCAATCACGACAAGTTATCAGCTAACGCTAACCAGCACTAGCCAGCTAGCTTGGTTAGCAAGGTGCATCCGTAATTCACCGTGACTGTGATTAATGATATTAAAAGGGATGCTAATTTTAGCTCGTGAAGAACAGGCGTAAACAAAATGTACTCACCGGGAAAACTGAGTCTTTAGCAGAACTGAACAAGACAAACAACAGAGCTAACTATCGATGAGCTGAAGACACAAGACACACGTCTGTCCTCTATCCTGATTGGTAGGCAGGCCAGCGGGTGTCAAACACACGGTAGCCACGCCCCTAACATTTGCCATGCTTTATCGTCTATTTTCTTCTAAAAGGAACCGTCGTTTGAAAAATGAACGTCGTGTTTTGTTGAAGAAGAACTGAAACTAACCACTGAGGTAATAAACCAAGTGGGGAGCAGGGTCATTTTCCCATAGACTTCAATATAATCTGACTTCTAATAGCAACCAGTGGAGTCGCCCCCTGGTGCTCAGAAGGTAGACTGCAGGTTTGAGGCACTTCCGCATTGGCTTCACTTTTCAGACCCGGAGTCGACGTCCATTTTTACACAAAGCAGAGTCTTTGATTCAGGTCACTGTGAAGTCCTGATCTGCTAGCTTAAACCCCTGGACACAGGAAGGTAAACCCCGTGCAATATCTCAGGCCTCGAGCCCTCAGGAAGACCTCGGGCAGTGATTCTTGGTCCCACCCACTATAAATCAATATGTGATTGGTTAATTCACCTGCCACTTTCTTAACAGACACACCAGCTGTGGGGGCTTCAGGCCTTCTGTCTGGCTATTAACTTCTAACCAATGAGTGAGCCAGCCGACCTTTATTCTGCCTAGAGACGACAAAAAAAAGAAAAGAAAATCTGATTGGTTAACTCTATTTTCATGGTTTTAGAACAGTAAATTTTTCATTTCTGAAGCAAACTTGATAGAAAATGAGACTAAAATTGGAATCAAAAGAGAATAATTATTAAAGTGATTCAATATAATATTTTAAATGATGGTTGTTCAGCCTTGTCTGATGTCCTAGAAGACCCTGAGGGTTCCCCACTGACATGTATATGACATTCATGTATGTAATATTATTAAAGAATTATTATGTTTTCCTGTCAACCTGTTTGTTTTTTCTAAAAAAATATATATTATACTTTCACCAGATGCTTGCCTGTTTCGTATTATTTTCCTTTCTGTTCATTTGTTTTGTTTTTTTTTACACATTGACTTAGAAGATATTTTTGAGGTTATTGCTTAATTTATGAGCAGTACTGCTCATAAATTAGAGACGTGACGTGACGTGTCCTTCTCTGTGATATTTATTGTGTGCTTCTCTGGTTTCTATTTGTACAGTATCAGAATATCAATTGTAGGACAAACTCCAGTCTGCTTCATGTTCATGTGACTTCCTACACCTTTACTTCCTCCCTCCATAGAGGACTCACTACTTCCTGCTCTGGTACTGAAATAAAACTGAGGTGCAGAATCATCCAATACATGTGTGATTATGTCACTCAAATAATTGTTGGCATTTATCATGAAAAAGCAGAAGGTGCTGGAATGTGGATTTCTAAAACTTAAAATAAAAATAAAAAAGTCATGACTGAGTGGCTTTCCTTTTATTTCCAATATTATGCTAGTTTAATTTTGATGAGTTATTCTGCCTGAATCAGGAAACTGCAGCATTAAGCAGGTTTCTGTTCTGGATCTCCTCCCAGCACATCCACATTTAAAACTGGACTGATGTAAGTAGAAAAACAAACATGATAAATAGGTGTTATAATGATATATCCTGTGGGATATAAACGTGTTGTTCTGTGTGTCCACAGCCCATCATTGAGCAGCACGTGCACATGAAACCAGATCTCAGTCATATCAAAGAGCTGTCGAGCCTCATCCCACCGGCCCACTTCTCAGGTGTTTAAAGAGTCGGCTCCACAGCACGAGCAAAGAAACGTCTGTCACAACAAACAGCTGATTCTCCTGTTGTCCTCCAGCTCCTGTGCTGCAGCTGACAGACTCCAGACAGACGATGGTGAAGTCAGTCTGTGGGGATTTAGTCTGTTTTCTTTATACAGTAAATCAAAGTGTGACTGACAGAACAAGAAAAAAAATATTTCTGCTGCTCTTGTATTTTTCTCTGAATATTTACTCTCATTATTTTAAACATTGAGCTGTGAAAATCACATTTCTACCTGTTTTTGGATTTTTAATGACTGTTTTAATTTACAGTTACTCAAACTATAACCTGAGTAACTGTTGTGCTCCCCCTGAGGGGATCTGTCCAACACCTCAGTCCAGAGCCACTTTACCATGAACTTAGATGTGGTTAGTTGTGATCCCAGGGGTTGGTGGCTGTATTGAACGTTATTGATATTATTGATATTGATTGAAGGAAGGACACGTGAAAAACACAGTGAACCAGCAGATCATGCTCTGCTCTCTTTGTTAGCATCTTACCTGACAGGTGACTGATGTCTGAGCCTGACAACAGGAGCTCCACCTGGCTCCATCATGGACCCTCTTCTCCCTCCACTCACACTGCTTCATCTAACCCTGCTGTGAAGCACACACCCAGCTTCTCCTCGTCAAGCCTCTCGCCCTTCACAGGATCAGGAGGATTCACCCCTCCCTCACCAGGGAGGAGGCCCCGGTCCTCCTCACCTGCCTCCAGGACGACTGCAGCTCCCTGCTTACTGCAGCTGCTGAGTCTCATCTGGTGTTTAGTCTTAAACCTCCTCCTCTCAGTTCAGACCACGTCTCAACAACTTGTTAGCACCTAATTAAAAACAGACGTTTTCTGAAGCACTGAACACTGTCAGAAGTTCAGAGCAGTAATGAAGCTTTTTCAGTAGCTTTCAGTCTTCTGTCATGGTCATGTCATATCACTCCGTTACAGCTAAACCCTGTCTGTTGAGGAAGACTGCAAGATGTGGTTGAAAGCTCCTGAACAGACCTTTTAAGTTGAAGGTTTTTGAACACAAAGAGCCAAACATGCCGTATTCATCAGTGTTTAATTTTGACAAAAAGCAGCCGTGCAAGAACCTTAGTCAAATAAAATAAAGTGTAAAAATGTCAAAAATCATTTCGATCAAACAAATAGTGAACATGCAACTGAAGCCCATCCTCAGCACTGGACAGTGTCTCAGCTCATATGGACATAATTCCCAGTGTCATAGCAATTATGTGCACATGGACAATTCTGCACCTGATGGTTTACAACCAATAACAATGTTCTGTGCCAATACAGGAAGGGGTGTGGTCTTTATGTAGGAAGGCAGGAAGTACAGGTGTGAAGGTTCAGGTGGAGGATGGGTGTGTGTGGAGACCTTAAATCAACAACTGTCCTTTTATCAACCATGACCACCGTGTGTCCTCAACCTGAAAGACAGAATTTAAAGATGTTGTATCAGACATGAAGTGGGGGGGGGGGGGATAAAGTCATCTGTCAGGAGTTTGACGTAATGCAGTGACTATTATCAAATTACTTTGTGCTTGAAGTGGATGAACTGTGGATGGATGCAGACCCAGAGCCCATAGAAAACAATGGAGAATATGTCTGGAAAGAACTTGAGCTGCATGCTTTTGAAAATGTCAGGAAATATGTAAATAACAGGTTTTGTGGTTTATGAGCAAACGAAGCGACGCAGCTGGAGAATCCATCTCTCCAGGACCAATCAGTGCCCTAAGAGGGAGGAGCTACTGGCAGCTGGGCGTGTCTTAGGCGAGACGACAGCGGGCAGCGACTGTTCTTTAACAACAATGGCGGCTGCTAAAGATGTTCTGTCACAAACAGAAAACATGAAGCTGCAGATTCCTCGTGATGATTATAAAATGTGACCGTGAGAAACAGCGTCCACAGCCCGAGGTGATTCAGTGACAGTGAGAAGGAGTCACATCATGTGTGCCCCCCAGTGAAGACCATTATTATTATAATTATTATTATTTAATTAAAGAAATGCGCAATAAATAATCAGCCCATCTGACGGCCACATTTGTCAGCGTAGGAATGTTTAATATTCCATATGGTCAGAAGCTAAAACATTTGAACATAAAGGTGAACGAGTACATTTCACTGAATGCACCGACAGAGCAACATCACCCGCCCGCATCCATCGGAGACGATACCGAGACCAGAGACACAGAGCAGGAGTACAGGTAGATAAAAGAACATCTGTGTGTGTGTGTGTGTGTGTGTGTGTGTGTGTGTGTGTGTGTGTGTGTGTGAGAGACGCTGTCAGCCTGGTAGCACAATGAAACTTCGGTTCCTGTATCTGGTTAAATATAGATGGGTTCTTCAGAGATAAAAAAAATATTCTTCACAGTATTTTTTCATCATATCCATGCATGTCACTGGAAGTCATCCATGGCACACTTCAAATGGCACTTAAAAAAAAGAATGAAAAAGAAAGAATAAGACGGGGTAGTTTTACTTTCATCAGGTAGGAGGAGGAGCGGAGGAGAGTGTTGTGTTCGCTGCTGCTGTAGAAACGAGCTCCTTCTCTCTGATGAGCTGCGTCTTCTTTGGGCTGCATTCATGTCTCTTATCAGGTGTTTGCACAAATATCACAAATCAGCAGAGAAACACAGAAATCAGCTCTGGTGGATGGAGATCACAAAACACTTAAAACCAGCTGAAATGACCTTAAATCATATATTTGCACAGAGAGAAGCACAAGAAACTTTACCCCCCCCCCCTCAGTTTTCCCTTTTTTCAGAAGCAGACAAAGAACAAACAAATACAAAACAAATCATCTGGCACTGTGAACAGTTGGCATCTGTCAAATCAGAAAGAAAGAACAGTGGAAATGAACGACAGAGTTTTGTCGACAGGCAGCAACGTCTTCACAGAGGCAGCACAGCAGGAGCCCCGCCCCCTCACAGCAGGACAGTAGTTATATTAGTACCAGTCGGCTTGATTGAAGGTATAGTAGTAGTATGTTAAGCAAGAGTCCAATCCCCCTGTTTGACTCAGTGTCTCCAGGAGACCATTCTCAAGTTTGATTGTTAACCAACCTATAAAGTGCTTTCAAAAAATAATCTCCTCCTCATCATCGTCATCCTCAGCTATACAATAAATCAGTATATCAATTAGGGCAAAGTTACAAGTATGAAAGGAAAGAGAGGAAGGATTAAAAAGGGTCTGTTCAGGCACGAGCAGAGAGCTCCTCCTCCTCCTCCTCCACAGCTCCTCTCTTCACCTCCCTGGTGCTCACTTCTTGAAGGGAGTCAGTCTGCCGATGTTGTGCCAGAAGGTGGAGGTTTTGCGCTTGGGCTCAGCCAGCATGAAGACCTGCTGCTGGGGCAAAGCAGTGGGCAGGGAGGGGTGCTTCTGTCGCAGCAGGAAGTCGTAGTAAGGTCTGGTCACTGCTGAAGAGGAGACAAAACATCCTTCATCAGAACTGATCTGAGAGCAGCTGAGAGGAGCTCACACTCATCGAGTGCTCAGGTCTCAGAGGTTCTCATAGTGACGCAGATTATATTATCATTATCATCATTTCTTTTATTTATATATCTGCAGCTGTTTGACTGGCGTGTCCTTTTATTCTACGATTATTTCCTGATTGTTTTCCTTCTAATACTCTACGTTTATTTCTGGTTTTACTTTAATTCATCTCCTCTCTTTTAGTATTCATCATCTTATCTTTATCACTCGGCCTTATCTTCAGTGTTTCATCACTTCCTGTTATTATTGTCTTATATACTGTATCTGATATCTGTGCGTGTGTGTGTGTGTGTGTGTGTGTGTGTGGGGGGGTGTTTTATTGCTTTTATTTTGTAAACCCCTCTGTGTTACATTGTTTGTATGAAAAGTATTGTACAAATAAAGTCTCATTGATTGATTGACTAAAATTAAAGAGGGAATTCAAACAATAACTGCACTGATAAACATCGGCTGCTGTTCCAGGTTGGTGAAAGAAAACAACGAGCAGGGGAGGAGTCACCTGAGATGTTACAGGTGATCTTCCCACAGCACTAACATCAGTTCAACAGAAGAGTCAGGGCTCAGAAACATGAAGACAGTTTTCTCTCTCAAATTAATTATAATCATTTCTACAGTCAATAAAGATGGATGTCGCCTCTGTGACTTCACAGGTTTCTGAAGCTCAGAGTGAGCTGCTCCACCGTCGCCATCTTGGCAGTGTCTGACTCTGCCCCTAACTCCCAGCTAATCTAAACATGGTCAAAGAGGAGGGGCGTGGGTGGAGCTGAGACTTCGGTGCATACGCTCACCCACCTGTCACTCAAAGAGGCCACACCCTCAATCCTCTGTAACTTTAGCCCTTAATAAAATGTAAACAGGTGAGTTATATAAACAGTAGTTATGAAGGAGGAAATTAGCTCTAGAGACCAAAACAGTTTCTGTACCAGGCTGTAAACATGTTGATTTCTGCTGTAAAGTTGGACATTTTAACATGGGAGTCTATGGGGACTGACTCACTGTTGGAGCCAGACTCTAGTGGCCATTAGAGGAACTGCAGCTTCTGGTTTCAGCCTGGAGCTTGATGTTGAGTCTGCATCAGATACACTGGATGAAAAGAGAATCTAATCCAGGAACAGGGAGGCTTCTTACAAAACTAAATAATTACTGTTTTCATAATTAGTTCAATGTATGTGTTTTGTATTCTCATCATTTAACCGAGATTAAAAAAAGCCTTGTAGAAAAGGGGCGGATCATTTACATATGTTCATCTGTAGCGAGCCGCCAATAGAAACGGCTGCTTTGTTACCAAAGCAGGACACAGGGGTTATCTGGGGTTATCTGGGGTTTCAAAAATGCTGACAGAGGAGGTGACGTACTGACTGTGCCACTGAGGAACCAATCAGAGTTGTCTTTTTGTTTTCTCTTCATTATTCAGCTGCACATCATGATTTTGTCTTTTCCTGTTTGGTTCTGTTTCATCTTCAGACGACAGAGAAACTGACAATCAAAGAAACATGACTGCAGATTTAAAAGTTGACCTTCAGTAACCTTTACATCAATCTACAGAACAGACAGAGAAAAACTGTGACATCATTTCACTTCAGGTTTCAGCTTTACTTTCTCCATTAACCACAATTATTATTCACACATCAAAGCTAATGTCACTGTGACCAACACTTCCTGCTAATGTTTCAAATTAAAAGCCTGCAAACCAGGAAAGGGGATGAGTATTTCCTTTGAGCTGCTGGGATGCCTTTAATGTGAAAACATCTGTACAGGAAGTGTTGGTATGAAGAGTTTTGTTTAGTATAGTATTATTATATAATATTACAGTGTTATAGATCAGTGCTTCCAGTATATATTACACATACCTTTAGGTTTCCCAGCTGGATGGCTTTTGCAGGCATTCAGCATGGCCTGTTTCTTCTGGACCTCTGTGAGAGAGAAGCCTGGACACAGACGGACACACAGGATTAATATGAAGCTTTCTTCATAAATACAAACATGATGGAGAACTTGGCCACTGAAAGAACAGCACACATAAAGCGACAGATTCCAGATGACACACTGTTTCTTTTCTTAAACTGAAATCACATGTAAATGGATATTTATCTGAGAGATTATTTATTATTGTTTCCTGTTACTGGGCCAAATCCAACATGTACTACCTTGATACAGTCCAGCTCAAATATCACAATATGCCATATTATAGTGTGTAATCATGTTATTGTATTTTATGTTTCAGGTATAAGTGACGCTGCCACTGAACAGCAGATCACTTTGATCTGTAGTGAATGTCAGACGCAGCAGCAGAGCAGACGGAGAAAACACTAAGCCTTAAAGCGTTAAGGGTTAGTCCTGACTGCAACGGCCCGGGTTCAAGTCCCACCCATGCTGCATGTCCCGTCCAGTGTTTCTGTGTGTGTGTGTGTGTGTGCGTGTGCGTGTGTGTCTGACCTGTCTCGCGGTCGTGCTGGACCTGCCTCCTCTCGTCAGCGAAGGCTCGGAGCCAGCGCTGCTTCTGCTCCGGCTTCTTGGCACACAGGAGGTGGACCTCGTCTCCGGCCAGCGACCGCAGCTTCAGGGCGTTCTTCACGCTGATGTTGAAGTCCTTCTCCTTCCCGTCCTCCACGTCCATCACCTCCATGTGGTCCATGTCCACCCGACCCTTGTAGTACAGCATGTCCCGGCGCAGCAGGTCCTGCAAGTACCAAGAATCTTTTTAGTACAAGACCTGATCCAGGAGGAGCTGAACCAGGAGGAGCCAGCTGTTTGACTGATGAAGGTTTGATCTCACAGTGTGAACAACAGGAAGATGTTTGTTCTCTTGTTGGATTCATAATTAAAAATTGAATGTATTTATCATTTTCTAAGAAACGTCTGTTGCAGCAGCTGCTGATTAGCTGCTGATTAACAGACATGCTCTGTATTCTAATCAGCAGACAGCTCAGAGGACCGATTGGTTTATTATATAAGGTGTAGTTAGTAGTTGTCATGACTGTTACTGAGGCTCCATGGTTATCAGTAGCATCTCCTCTTCCCTGAGTCCGAGTCAGAGACCTCTGCTGCTCTGACCTGAAGAACAAGTTCAAGATAAATACTGGTTCTTCTACAGTTTGTTAACAAAGTGAAGGATCTGTAATTTGATCTTTGTAACACCGAGCAGTTTAAACACAGACTGATCTCCTCTGAAGGTTCATGTCTGTTGTTATATTGTCTTATTAGATTGATATAAAACACATTATTTCTCATATATAAACATAAATTAATCATCTGTTCTGGACACGTCGGCCGTCGTCCCTCCTGAGGACAGTTACAGGACATCCTGCAGGTCTAGGTTTTAAATGTTTTTATGATTTTGGTTCATTAACACTTACAGGAAGTAATGTCTACTGCTGACACCAACACACCTGTGCAACAGGTAAACAGAGCACACTTGAATCCTCATTGTTTAGTATTCCTAAAGAAAAGCAGGATTTTTCTTTTTCTATTCCACAAGCTCTGATCTGTGAAGGCTTCATCAGCGTGATCAGCTAACATCCAGGTACAGCTACTGTTCGCATGATTCTTCTCATCAGTATAAAACAGTATATGTTTTATACTGTTTTATACTGTTTTATACTGATGAGTGTGTGTATTAAACATGATGTTAAACAGTATAAAACAATATTAAACAATATAAAAAGCACCTTTTTGCAGTAAACCATCTGATGGTCGAAGAGGAAAAACATTCTCTGTTGACTTTTGGCCTGAGGCTGAGACAGTTTGGTCAACTCCCCTGAAAAGATGAGATCAGAGCTCCTGCTGAGGACGTCTTCACCCTGCGCACACACACACACACACACACACACACACACACACACACACACACACACACACACAGAGTTACTGCTGCAGTCAGAGAGTCTCAGAACAAACAGAAGCTCCCTCTCTCTCTCCCTCCTCTCCCTCTCTGTCTCTCTCTGTCTCTCTCTGTCTCTCTCTGTCTCTCTCTCTCTCTGTCTCTCTCTCTCTCTGTCTCTCTCTCTGTCTCTCTCTCTAAAAGAGAGAACGTCAGAGCTCCCTTGAGCCTCCAGTCTCACCTGTTGAGGTCATAATTTATCAGAAGGGAAATGGTTGAACTTAAAAGGTCGTTTACAACAGTGAAGTTCATCCTGGAGCCAATTTAAGTGGGCTGATAGTTGACCTTTTTGACCTTCCAATGCGTGACTAAACAGTACCTCTGCAGTCATGACATCAACAGCTCAGCCTTGTGTCAAGGTCTAGATCAAATCAACAGACTCATGACCTGTGTCCTCCTGTGTCTCATCCTGTGCAGCTGATCGAGTGAATGGGGATGCGTGTGTAACGCCGAGGCGCTGGGACCAATGTCCACCTATGGACGACCAGGAGCTCGGCTTTCAGGCCGGTGATGTCATCGAAGTAGTGGACGCTCAAAACAAGGATGGTGGTGGGGTCGCATCATGTGAACAGCGAGGGGCTGAGTTTCCTGCCAGCTTTCGTGCGGGTGAGAACGAACTGTGAATTTATGACATGGTTCGTACCTGGTTCAGTATTTCTAATAGAATGTGCAGCATCAGAAGTACGAGGTTTAATCAAAATGTCTGTGTAGGAGACCATGTCTAACTCTCACCTGTGTCCTCAGTTGCGTGTGAACCAGGACGAGCCGATGGAGGAGTACCTGGCCCACCTGGAGGAAGGCGCAGTCTGGGGAGGAGGACAAGGCGCTCCTGGGCCTGTTACTGGGACCCGGTTTTACCCTGTAAAGAGCAGATGAGGACCAAACGTCATTCATGAGATCATGAAGCACAGAGAGAGACATAACATCAAGGCACCTGAATGACATCTTAGGTCAGGGATCACATATCACATGAATCAACATGATCACTGTCATACAGCAACTCCAGTAAACACATTTCATTTACCATGGAAACTCCTTCACGACTCCAGAGTCTCAAGAGTCAAGTCTCAGAGTCTCACAGAAGTCTCACAGACTCGTCAAGATCTCTCAGAGTTCTCGTCACATGAGTCTGCAGAGTCTTAGAGTCTACAAGAGTTCTTACAGAGTCTCTAGAGTCTCACATAGTCTCACAGAGTCTCACAGAACTCCAGAGTCTTACCCAGATCTCAGAGTCTCACATAGTTCTCACAGAGTCTCAACAGACTCTCAAGTCTTCGGAGGTCTTCACAGAAGTTACAGAGTCTCAGAGTGTCTCAAGAGTCTCTCAGAGTCTCACAGAAGTCTCACAGAAGTCCTCAAGAGTCTCACAGAGTCTCACAGTGGTCTCAGAGTCTCTCAGAGTCTACAGTTCTCAAGTTTCAGAGTCTCACAGAGTCTCACAGAGTCTCTCAGAGTCACAGAGTTCAGAGTCTCATCAGAGTCTCAGAGTCTCAGAGTCTCACAGAGTCTCAAACAGTGTCTCAGAGTCTCTCAGAGTCTTCACAGTGTCCCTCAGAGTCTCTCAAGTCTCACAGAGTCTCACAGAGTCCTATCAGAGTCAACAGAGTCTCAGGTCTCACAGAGTCTCAGGTCTCAGAGTCTCCACAAGAGTCTGCAAGAGTCTCTCAGAGTCTCACAATAGTCTTCACAGAGTCTCACAGAGTCTCTCAGAGTCTCAGAGTCTCACAGAGTCTCGAGTCTCACAGAGTCACACAGAGTCTCACAGAGTCTCACAGAGTCTCACAGAGTCTCTCAAGAGTCTTCAGAAGTCTCAAGAGTCTCTCAGAGTCTCCAGGTCCAAGAGTCACGTCTCAGGCCAAGAGTCTCCAGGCCCAGAGTCTCTCAGAGTCTCTCAGAGTCTCACAGAGTCCCTCGACCTCAGAGTCTCTCGTCTCAAGAGGTCTCACGTCTTAGAGTCTCTAGACTCGAGTCTCACATAGTCCTCACAGAGTCTCACAAGTCTCTCAGAGTCTCTCAAGAGTCTCGTCAGAGTCTCAAGATCTCTCAGAGCCTCACATAGTCTCACAGAGTCTGCACAGAGTCTCTCAGAGTCCTCAAGAGTCTCACAGAGTCTCCAACAAGTCCTCAAGTCTCCAAAGTCTCAAGAGTCTCACAGAAGTCCTCAAACAGACTCTCAGAGTCTCCAGAGTCTCACAGAAGTACTCAGAGTCTCACAGAGTCTCACAGCTCTCGAGTCTCACATAGTCTCAGAGTCTCTACGAGTCTCACAGAGTCTCAGAAGTCTCGAGTCTCTCAGAGTTTCACAGAGTCTCACAGATCTGAGAGTCTCACATAGTCTCAGAGTCCTCTGGGAGTCTCACAGAAGTCTCAAGTCTTCTCAGAGTCTCATAGAGTCTCAAGAAGTCCTCACAGAGTGTCAAAGTCTCTTCAGAGTCTCAGAGAGTCTCAAGAGTCCTCGAGTCCTCTCAGAGTTTCAGCGAGTCCCTCACAGAGTCTTCAGAGTCTCTCAGAGTCTCACAGAGTCTCAGAAGTCTCACATAGTCTCACCAGACTCTCAGAGTCTTACAGAGTCTCAAGAGTCTCACAAGACTTCCAGAGTCTTACAGAGTCTCAGAGTCTCACAGACTCTCATGAGTCTCTTTTTGGAAGTTCTCACAGAGTCCCTCAGCATCTCTCCAGAGTCTCACAGTGTCTCAGAGTCCTCTCAGAGTCCTCACAGAAGTCTCAGAGTCTCTCAGAGTCTCACAGAGTCTCACAGACTCTCAGAGTCTTACAGAGTCTCAGAGTCTCAGACTCTCAGAGTCTCTTGAGTCTCACAGAGTCTCAGCGTCTCTCAGAGTCTCACAGAGTCTCAACAGACTCTCAGAGTCCTCACAGAGTCTCAGAGAGTCCTCACAGTCTCACAGTCTCACAGTCTCACAGCTGCAGGTTTTGAATCCTGTCTTCTCTACATCAGGGCTAACATCAAACAGTGCGTAAGAGGACGGACATGTTCACTGAAGGAGCAGCTTCGCACCATCTTCGGAAACATTGAGGAGATCTACCGGTTTCCAGAGGAAGTTTCCTGAAGGGACCTGGAGAAGAAGTTCAACAAGGAGCAGCCGCACCTAAGTGAGATCGGCTGCTGTTTCCTCGAACATGTGAGTCACCTCAGAGTTCAGAGTTCAGAAAACAGAATCCAGAGTTCAGAACAAGTCCAGAGTCCAGAGTTCAGAGTTCAGAACAGAATCCAGAGTTAAAAACAGAATCCAGAGTCCAGAACAGAGTCCAGCAGTTAGAACAGAATCCAAGTGCCAGAGGTTCAGAACAGAGTCGCAGGAATTTCGACAGAAATCCAGAGTTCAGACAGAAATCCAGAATCTGGACAGAGTTCAGAGTTCAGAACAGAAATCCAGAATTCAGAACAGAATCCAGAGTCCAGAGTTTGGAACAGAGTCCAGAGTTCAGAATAGAGTCCAGAGTTAAAACAGAATCCAGAATTCAGAACAGAATCCCCAGAGTCCAGAGTTTTGGAACAGAGTCCAGAGTTCAGAACAGAGTCCAGAGTTCAAAACAGAATCCAGAGTTCAGAAACAGAATCCAGAAGTACAGAGTTTGGGAACAGAGTCCAGAGTTCAGAAAGGAATCCAGAGTTCAGAACAGAATCAGAGTTCAGAGTTCAGAACAGAGTCCAGAGTTAGGAACAGAAATCCAGAGTTCAGACAAGAATCCAGAGTTAAAGAACAGAATCCAGAATTCAAGAACAGAATCCAGTGCCCAGAGTTAAGAACAGAGTCCAGAGTTCAGAACAGAAATCCAGAATTCTGAACAGAGTCCAGAGTTTTTGAACAGAATCCAGAGTTCAGAACAAGAATCCAGAGTTCAGAACAGAAATCCAGAGTTTCAAGAAACAGAATCCAGTTCCAGAGTTACAGAAACAGAGTCCAGATTCAGAAGTTCAGAACAGAATCCAGAATTCTGAAGAGTTCGGACAGAGTCCAGAGTTTGGAACAGAATCCAGAAGTTCAGAAGTTCAGCAACAGAATCCAGAGTTCAGAACAGTAGTCTAGTGTCCAGAGTTAAGAACAGAGAGGTCCAGAAGTTCCAGATCAGAATCCAGAATTCTGAACAGAGTCCAGAGTTCAGAAACAGAATCCAGACTCCAGAACAGAGAGATCCAGAGTCCAGAGTTAAGAAACAGAATCCAGAGTTTGGAACAGAATCAGAGTTCAGAGTTCAGAGTTCAGAACAGAATCCAGAGTTCAGAGTTCAGAACAGAATCCAGAGTTCAGAAAGGAATCCAGAGTTCAGAACAAGAATCCAGAGTTCAGGAACAGAATCCAGAGTCCAGAGTTCACGAATAGAATCCCAGAATCCCAGAGTTAAGAACAGAAAGTCCAGAGTTCAGAACAGAATCCAGAGTTCAGAACAAGAATCCAGTGTTTTGGAACAGAATCCAGAGTCCAGAGTTAAAGAACAGAGTCCAGAGTTCAAAACAGAATCCAAGAGTCCAGAGTTTCAGAAAGGAATCCAGAATCCAGAGTTTGGAACAGAATCCAGAGTTCAGAACAGAAATCCCAGAGTTCAGAGTTCAGAACAGAATCAGAGTCCGAGTTTGGAACAAGTTCAGAGTTCAGAACAAGAAGTCCCAGAGTTTCAGAAAAGGAATCCAGAGTTCCAGAACAGAATCCAGAGTCCAGAGTTCAGAAACAGAATCCAGAGTTCAGAAAGGAATCCAGAGTCAGAACAGAATCCGAGTCCTCCAGAGTTTAAGAAACAGAGTCCAGAATTCTGAATAGAGTTCAGAGTTCAGAACAGAATCCAGAGTTCAGAAAGGAATCGCAGAGTTTCAGAAAACAGAATCCAGAAGTCCAGAAGTTCAGAACAAGAATCCAGAGTCCAGAACAGAGTCTAGAGTTCAGAGTTCAGAACAAAGACCAT